TAATGAGTCTACTTAATATCAGTGGCGTAGCAACCATGACACGAAGGGAGTTCATTGCGCCCGGGCCCACGGCCAACATGGGCCCAAACTGGCTCTTGTTAGGAAAAATGCTTTGGCTGTAAGAATGTAAATGTTTGAGATTCTTATGTTATTTTATTTTATTTAAACCATTGTATATTTATTGTTCTTAAGCTGTATTTTATGTATATTCATCAAAAGGGAAAATTACCAAAGTATGAGATCTATTAAAAGTAGGTAGCTCTAAAATTGTCAGTACAGTGATTCATTAAATTCTAACTTGTATTTTTAATAATAATAAAAACAAAAATAATAATAATGACACATTTATAAACAATGTGAAAGTGCTATATATGATAAAATATTTTTGTTTTTGTTAAATTGCGTTCTTTTTATTACGGTGTCTTTTTACTTTTTCGGATACATCAATTAGTATTATAAGATGACAGTAAATTCCATTCCTTGTAATGGAAATCGAATAGAAATCTTATGTAAAACATGTGCTTTCAATCAATACGGTGAGCATATTACCTACGTTTATTGATTTTTACTCAAATTTAAAATCCTAATGTTTATGACATTATTCCAATGTTATTGTAAATTTTACAGTGATATTTAATTAAAATTATAAACAGATTTAACATTAAAAAAACAACATGTGCCTTCAATACCTACTCTTTAAAAGTATTACTATACGGATATATTTATTTTAGTAAACCATTTACTGCAGATATTCTAACGCCGTATTACTAAGCCCGGGACTACGGATACCTCGCTACGCCACTGCTTAATGTTAACATAAAAAATTTCAACTCATTAGCAGGTCATCTCGAATGTTACCACAGGCCTTTACTAATTTTGCACTAGGTTGCCTTGAATGTAGCACTAAGTTGTCTTGAAGACTAAGACTGCTTTATTGATCCTTATGGAAATTTGTTAAGATTACAAGGACTCTTTTCTAATCCTAAGACAACACAACAGAAACATACACATAAATAGAACAGACACAACATAAAAGAGCTCATTCAGCGAAAGTAGCAGTAAGCTGTTATGAATTTAGCAGTAAGCTTTCTTAATTGTAGCAGTAAGCTGTCTTGATTGTAGCAGTAAGCTATGAATGTAGCAATAATCTGTCTTGATTGTAGCAGTAAGCTGTCTTGAATATAATATCCTGTTATTTCTAATAATTTTTTAAAAATGACTTTATGTTTTCTTTAGGAATCATTAGGTTACCATGTGATCATTTGAACATTTAGTTACCGGTAACTTGAATCTCTTATATTGAATCACCTATAATATTTTATTTTCATTATCTTCTAATCATCTATCATTCATCACCATCATCTGTCCCTTGACTTGTCTTTATCATCTATTATCTATAGTGACGCTATAGTCTTAGATTTTTTCCTACAATTAAATTTAAACTTCTGTAAGGAGTCACATGACCAAGTTTTAAAGGTCAAATAGATAAATGTCAACGTTTACGGGACCAGGTAGGAGGCATAACCTGTCAGATTGACTAAAATAGAAAAACAAAATTTCTAGGAATATCCCTATTTTAATTTAATCATTTCTTATTAATTAGAAAAGTGTTTCCCAAACTGTGTTCCGCGGAACTAACCCTAGTGTTCCGCGAGGCCTGAATATGAGTCACACAAACTACTGGAATAATTAGCTAGTGAATTCATCTCTCTAAAAAAGGGAGCAAAATGTTCCGCGAAATGTTCCGCTAAATACTCAGATTGAGCGAAGTGTTCCGTTTAAGAAAAAAGTTTAGGAAACACTGATTTAGAGTTTCCAAATATGTCTCTGGCTTTCCTGGAGGATTCAAACATTCAATGTTTCATTACACGCTTATAGTGAGCGCTCTTGTATGAGTTTGTCCTATCTCAGGGATACAGGAAATGTTTTTTGATCTTTGTTTTTTCTAAGCAGTTTATTAAGTCGTGTATAGTTAGGCGTTGGTCTACATAAAATTAATAGTTTATTTAGTGTTAATGATACTTTCTAATCTACTGTTCCTTTGTATATCTAGACTGTTATCTTATAATGATATGACCGCTATATGTATTAACCTGTGATAAATATTTTCTTTTATAGAGTTTTTCTAGTTTGTATTTTCGAGTTGATGAAGAATGAATATTCACGTGCTGATGAGAAAATGTGTTTTAGGGGAACTTGTGACATAAACTGCTTGGCTGTTTATCAGAATGGATTAGAGAAATAATGCATTCAGGATTTAAGCTCGAACCAAGATTGTTCAATTTTAAACTCAGCATGAAAGCCTTTTATTTGCCCCTATGTAGGCATCTTTCCCTATTCTAGTGGTATTATAATATGTGCAATGAAACTGTTATTAGTCTATTTTTAAACAGTGTTTAAAAAAGGTTATTAAAATTTACATAATTATTTTTTTTTAAGTAAATGTTATTTTACTCCAGGATAACTGTCTTGTATTATGAAACCTAGATATTTTGAGTTTGAGTCATAGGTTTATTATAGACCTACTTGAGAAAGGATTCCCCTTTTTTCAATTGTTCATTTTTATCTTTGATTAGAATTTAATTGTATTGTTTTTATTGTTACCTTAACCATGTTGTCTTCTATAATTAGTCGAAAATTATTTAGGTTCGGCTGTAACTTAGAAACAATTGTGGGTCACCCCTCTCGTGGATCTCCTGAGTTTAAATCTAATGGTGTCATTTAAAAACTACAGTTTGCTCTCTACTTAGGTCCGTTCGTTTAATCTTATTTTATAAATTACAGACGTAACTGCAAAAGGGACATAATTGGCTGGAAATGCCAAAATAATGTAACTTTTAAAGTAAACTAAGGTGGGGAACCTTGTCAAATGTCTTAGATCAGTCTTAAAAGATGACATCTACTAGCTCATCTGAACATTATAGAAAATCATGCATTAAAAGTATTATTATCTTATCTTATCTTATATAATACAGACGTTACTTCAAAAAAGAAGATGATTACGTCCTACGCGTCATGCATTTAGTCATGCATATTAACCAATGACTTAAATTCTGCCAAGTCACTGGTTTTCCTGGCTAGCTCAGGCAACCCATTCCATGCTCTAATAGCACTAGGGAAGAAGGAGTATTTGTACAAATTTGTCCAAGCATATGGGACGAGGAGTGTGCCTTTATTTTTGTGTCTTTCAGAGTATTTTATTAAATTTTGTTTTTGTATTTGAAGATTATGGTTCAGTGTTTTATGTATAATTGCTACTTTACTTTTGAGTCTTCTGTCCTGAAGGCTTTCTAAATTTAGTGATTTTACTAATGGTGTTACTCTAGTCAAATGTGAATATTCGTTTGTTATGCTCTATTTTGTGTTTGTTCCAGTTTCTTAATGTTTTCTTGAGTTGAAGGGTCCCAAACGGAGGATGCATATTCTATTATTGGCCTAACCAAGGTTAAATAACATTTTAGTTTTATGTTCTTATTTGATTTATAGAAATTTCTTTTAATAAATCCTAATGCTTTGTTTGATTTTTTTTTATAGTTTCATCAATATGGGGATTCCATGACAGTTTTTCATTTATTATAACACCTAGGTATTTTGCGTTTTTAGTCTGTGTTACTGGTTTGCCATGAATAAGATAAGTGGAATTAATTTGTTTTAGTTTTTTTGTTACTCTTAACAACTGACATTTTTCTGGGTGGAAAGACATGCTCCATTTGATTCCCATTTCTGTAATTTATCTAATTCTCTTTGTAAAATATCTGTGTCTTGTGTTGTTTTTATTGTTCTATATATTATGCAATCGTCTGCAAATATTCTGACTTTTGTTCCTGAAGTAATGCAATATGGTAAATCATTTATGTAAATTAAAAATAGTAGTGGACCCAAGACTGTTCCTTGAGGTACACCTGAGTTTACTGTTATCGGTGTTGATTTAGAGCCATTTATTATTACAGTTTGTTTTATTATTTGAGTCCTAGACCTAAATTTCAAAAGCTATTTTTGTTATTTATGATGTTACTAATTTCTAATGATCTAATTTTAATCAACAATGGTTATCACGTGACTAGTTTTTTTCCGTTGTTTTATCAATATTATCACGTGACCGTTCGTTTTTGTGAATGAGGTCCATGAATGAGTTGGCAACAGTGGAGTTCAATTTAGCGGCCTTGACATTGTTTAGTTCAATGTGAAATCTCCAGCACGAGCAGAAACCTACTTAAGTCTTAACTCTTTCTCTGCGTAATTATTTTATACGTTTCAACGGGATTCTTTATTTTGCTCAGTAGTATTTCACTGCCCTGTTATGATTAAGTTTCAATAACTTTTTTGTTTGTTATCAGAAAATGTTATATTTGGTATTGAATTAAAAGGGGAATGCATGCTCTTTTTTTATAAGACAAAGTAAGGTTTATAAAAGTCAGACATTAATTTAATTTAATGAGCTCAAATCAACGATGGTATCGTCAAATAGGTGAAAAAGAGTTAATTAGTCTCTAAACAATCGCATAGCATTCGCGACCATTTGGGGCCCACAGCCTGTGACGTAGAAACCATGGCAAGAGGGGGGGGGCTTCATTGCACTTGGGACAATGACTCGTGATCAATTAAGACCCAAATGAGAACTTTGGAATGACACTAAAGTGGAAAACAATAATTGCACCTTTGAAAAAACGATTTTAACACCCCCCCTCCCTAAAAAAAATGTCCTAAATGTTATATCAAACTTATTGACTTCCAAAACATTAACCCGTATATTTCAGCGTGAGTTTATGTACCGGCGGCTTGGACTACTTTGATGTAAGGAATTGCTTTATTCGGGTTTATTTTAATGGTGGCTGGCCCCAAATGCCCCAATCACAACGTGCTTTTGTGTGACGTTTGGTGCCAGCTTGCCCTTTTTTTTTTCCTCGATGTGAGTAAAACCATTCTGGAGAGGAAAACGTGTTTGGTAAAAGAAATAGTGATGGATGGTTAGCGCAGAACACAAAGATGGGCGGCGACAATTAGGCCTATAGGGATATGCCTGATTGTAATGAATAAACTGTAATAAACATTTAGACACAACTGCTAATAATTTAGCTTTGTTTCTGTTTCCTTCCCCCCCCCCCCCCCACCCCCGCATTTTACTTCTGTTGACATAGTTCTAATTTACACTCAACAATATATAGCAAGGACGCAAAACCCTAACACCATATTCTGTTCCCTGGTGAATAGTTAAAATGTTAAACTTAATGTATTTATTCAATGAATGCAGCGCCTAAAGACAGTGTGGAAAACCTTTTCCCAGATACCCTCTCCCCACACAAAAGAGATTGGACCATAGCGTTCTGAGCAAAGTATAAGCATGAAAGCTGCGCTTCACAAAGAGCTGTCTTATATACCTTCTTATCTTATCTTATAAAATACAGACGTTGCTTCAGGAAAGATGATTCCGTCATAGCGTCATGCATTTAATCATGCATATTAACCAATGACTTAAATTCTGTCAAGTCATTGGTTTTCCTGACTGGTTCAGGCAACCCATTCCATGCTATAAAAGCACTCGAGAAGAAGGAGCATTTGTAAAAAGTTGTCCTAGCATATGGAACGAGGAATGTGCCTTTCTCTCTTTGTGTCTTACTGGTTTTTTGTATTAGCCTTTGTCTTTGTTTCTTTCTGAGTATTTTGTTAGATATAAAATCGATATGAAGCATTAAGAACTAAGTGGGAACATTGGATGAAGTAAAAGAAGGAGTAGGCCTACTTGAAGACACCGTAGACTACTGGCAAAATCACATAATGCAGGGGCGTAGCTAAGAATTTTCCATCGTTTGGGGTCCCGGGGTTTGACCTCTTTGGAGGCCCCTGCTTTTCGCGTAATATTTAATTTTTTATGTAAAAAGTGCTCATTTGGGGGCCACCCTCAAGTGGGGGCTGGGGGATTTTCAAATTCTTCCCTTTCCTACCCCCACCCTAGCTACGCCACTGACATAATGAATGTGTTATGAACATAAAGATAAGAGAGTCGAAAACCATGTCTACATTATATGGCTTTAATACACCAACCTACGGTGATGGACAATTGTTGATATAGATACATCTCTGGGAACATGACTTAAAAGTGTTTGAATATTTAAGCATTAAGTAAACGATGTTTGATACAATGGTCATACTAATTAACGATATAGTCCACTCTTTGTTGCAAACCACGTGACATATGTCATCTTTTGTACACATCGCTTGCCATGACATCAATGTCAACACTCCATCCTGTCATCTTGTTGATGTCTTCCATGTAGCCACTTATCAAGTACACCCCCCCTCTCCCCGTCTGCGCCCCTTGCACCCCCGCCCCATCCTATCACACACAGTATATTATTGTGACCATTAAGTAGGCACTTATTCTAGTTGAGAGAATTCTGTCTCAGTCTTCTACAGGCGGTGAATAGCTATTTAGATGCCAATGCTCATAAAAAGACTTGTAAAAACACCATTAGAAACCCATATCCCCCCACCTCTCGCTATAGTAAATCATATCTGATAAAGTTGAATAGGACCAACAGAGAGCTGTCCCGCGGGTTTTTGCAGCCTTCTTAATCTCCGTAACTTGCGTGCCGGTGGTTTTGATACGTCACGGTAAGTGGTTTAACCTTTCATCTTATGAAAACAAAATGGCTACAGTCTCTCGGTGCACGTTCATCTGGCTGAAATAAAACGATGTTTAAAAAAAAAAAAAGGAAGCCGTTTGATTGAGAGAATTGAAAGAGAGCCTCCTTGGTATGGGTACGTGGGAGGAGGAATTGAAATGTATTGGGGGGGGGGGGGGAGCTGGTAAGATGTCAGAATGGAGAAGTTTCCAACCTACTTGGTTTTAAATTAATGTACAGGATTGAATCATTTGGAGGGAAGAATTAAGAAACTGGAACAGACCCTAAATAGAGCAGTGACATTCATAACAAACGAGTATTCACATTTGACTAGAGTAACACCATTAGTAAAATCCCTAAATTTAGAAAGCCTTCAGGATAGAAGACTCAAAAGTAAAGTAGCAATTCTACATAAAACACTGAACCATAATCTTCAAATTCTAAACAAAATCTAATAAAATACTCAGAAAGACACAACAATAAAGGCCCATTCTTCGTTCCGTATGCTGGGACAAATTTGTACAAATGCTCCTTCCCTAGTGCTATTAGAGCATGGAATGGGTTGCCTGAGCCAGCCAAAAAAAAAAAAAAACCAGTGACTTGGCAGAATTTAAGTCATTGGTTAACATAGGACGTAATCATCTTTTTTTTTTTTTTTTTGAAGTAACGTAAGTGTTACATATACGTGAGACTCTCTTTTTAGAATGGAGGGGAATGGGATATTGTTATAAGTATACAAAGGTTTCTTGCTTTTTACAAAGTCTGTCTGTTTCTAAGTTTCTAAGGTAGTCTTCCAAAATAGGCTGTTTATCTAAGTAGGCTGAGTCTTTGTAAGTAGGTTGCAAAAATTGCATGTTTGAAAGTCTCGTGATTAGGTTTGTTTGTTTGTAATATTCTGCATTGGTTGTTTTTTTTATATTTATTAGACAAGTTGGTCTCAAGTCAGGAAAGTTTAGTCTTTTTCAATCTTAGACAGCAATATATGCCTAACTATGAACACGAACAAGACACGAGGTGGGGAGAGAAATGGAGGGATAGACACTACAGAACGAGGTACATTCATTTAACGAATCCATCATTTGTTAAACACAGAAAACAAATAACCGTAGAGCGGATCACGTGACTTACAAGAAGAACCATTTTGACACGGTGTTGAACTTGAAGCCAGAGCCTCTTTGAACAGCTTGGTGACACCAATTGCAACATAATGCTGTCCCAGGTGTCACCCACACATGGATGACATCAACGAACGTTAGATCCAATCCTCCCCCACCCTTTTCCTTACACGCCTCCCCCCTCTCCTCTCACATACACATAAGAGTATGAAAATTCACAGTCCCGCTCCTCTGCATATTCTCCCAGTACGTAAGTCATTCCCCTTCACTGCACTTCCTCATGGTCCAGCAGATCCTATCAAACCGTTTCGATTACTTATCTGTAGTACACAAGTGAACTAGGATCTAGCACTAGTATTCCACCACCCCCTCTCTTTCTCCCCATCTCGATTCTAGACCCTGTGTGGTAAATACAGGTGGCCTAGTCTCTAAAGACGATCAAGTCGTCTTTTGTCTTAGCATTTAAATTATTTGAATCGGACGCCACTCTTCTCTTAGCGGGGTATTAAAAGCATTACAAAGATAAAACACTTGAGCGGTTGCAGCAGAGATTTGAATTCTAGACAATGAGATATGATTGGCTAATAATGCTGAAGACATAATCTGTACTAGGCATGATTTGGAGAGAAGGCATTACCTATATAGATATGTAGCAGTGTCTGGATCAGCGAAAGCATTGTTAGGCTGGTCTTGAGGTAGTACGTGGTTACTGGACATGTATAAAGTAAAGAGCAAGATTTAGATCACCTTCATCTATCCCTTAGTCTGTTGGACCGCTGGGGCACCACATAGGATCTGTCATCCGTTTTTTCTCCATTCCTCTCTGTCTTTGCCTTGGATCGAACTTCTTTCAATGGCAGGCATGTCCATTCTTTTATGTTGTCTTCCCATCGCTTTCTCTGTCTGCCTCTTCTTTAGATGCATAAAGTAAAGGGCAAGATCTCGATGGACTCATATAACGTTGATTATTATTTAGAGGCTTTACTAAATGTGATTAGACTTTCTTATTGTCAGAAATTTAGCTTTTTAAATTTTGTTATTGCTGTTGGTGACTTGTGACTTGGTGTTGACCAAATGCGATTTGCATTTGTCAATTGTAGGATTTTTATTATCTTCCTTTCTTATAATATCGTTTGTCTGTTTTTTTTAAGGGTGGAGGGCAACCAACATGATGCAAATGATTTTCTGCAAAAATCTGCTAACGCTATGCTCAGGCAACTTCCGCACTTCTTATTCGATACTTTGATATTATATTAATATTATTGCGAATGCTTTTTCTAGAACAATTTCAGGTGCACGATTTTCAACTCATATTTGACTGGATTAAAAACACAAAAAAAAACTAGATATTTCTCTCTTACTCAGAAAAGGGACAGGGGAGGAGAGGACGGGCTAAGAGTGAAGCTATTAGATCCGCGTGTTTATGTCTTTATGTTGTTGTTGTTTTTTTAGAGGGGGAGAGGGCTGGTAATCATCCCAATGCGCCTAACAATTAAACACAGCTCCTTGTTTCGTGTCGTCCGGAAGGTGGCGCTGTGTTCGGCTCTTCCAATCTCTTGTCGAGGTCAAAGCTCATGTTTTCAAAGAGAGCGGCTAGCTCTGAGAGGAATCAAAGACTTAAATCGAGATGACCACGCGATAGCCACTTCCTTTAGGTCAAAGTGTTCTGTTTTTTTAATTCTCTCTTGGGCCCAGATAATGTCCGGTTGACATTTAGGTCATCACAAAACAGAGACATTATTTGAAATTCAAGAACGAGAACTTTGTCATTCAGTAAAAGCAGACGATAATTTCTTTAACAAACTTAATTGGTACAGAAAAATAAAAGAGAGGTTAGACAAAGAGCTGCGAGTATTTTTAGAAGGAATGTTTATATATATGTTAGATTGCTATTGTATGTCACGTGCTTCAAAACTAGCAATTTAAATAATTAATCATTATTTACCCGCGTACCCAAACATTCACACACAATCACACACTACCATTTGTGGACCGGTGGGGGGGGGGGGGGGAGGGGGTATCTAGGAGTTGGTTTGGCTCAGTAAACACAACTCTGCCCGAGTCGGGTGTCGAACCTCGAGCCCCCTTCTAGGTAGCCAAGCCAAGTTCAAACGCCCTCTCGACCACGCTTCCAACATGTATAAATGAGAATTGTGTACATTTATTTCTGTGCCTACACAGAAATACTGCATTCCTCTAAGACGTCTTCTTTCTTCCTCATCTACGTTCTCAACTTTACATGTCGGAGAGTTCAGAGCAGTAATCCTATATCTGAGGGGAGATGTGCAGTGGTTTCCAGATCAGGCAGTTCTCGGTATATTTCTTCGGAGCCTTTTGATAAAGTATGCTGCTTTGAAGGACATGGTCAGCATTTTCTGGTAATGCTTCAAAAGGGCAAGTTTCGTGAGTCCGGACTTTTAGCTTCAGAAACATATGTTGTCTCATTCTGTTGTGTTCGGTTCTGAGTCGAAAAATTATGTGTTGGTCAAGTCAAGATAGCTTATAATAGGCGTCCTTTTTCTTGTAATTGGGATGTGAGCTGGTCCAATTGTTATTTATTCTACTCTCTATTATGTTCAGCATTTCTTCTGGGTAGAGAGGAATTTTCATTTGTTTGTTCCTTCTCCCATCTTTGGCCAGTATGTCTGCTTCTTCGTTACCTTCTAATTCAATGTGGCTGCCTGGTCGTGCGGTTTGCACGCTGGACTGTCGTTCAGATTTATCAATGGTCCCGGGTTCAAACCCTGCCCGCTCCCATCCCCGTCGTCCTGCGGGAGGTTTGGACTAGGAAGTAATTATCTTCAACTCTGAAGGAACATCCGAAACATGTAAAACATTTTACAAACACAAACATGTGTGCTGGAATCCATTAAAGAACAGTTTCCTTGCTGTTGTTGCTTTATATAGGAAGTATCCGAGTTTTTCAGGCTTTGAAGGACTGTTTTGGCATCGGTCAGTAAGACAATTAGGCTGTGTCATTAATCTTCGGACTCGAAGACAAGCCTTGTTATTTCTGTATACTAAATACATGCATATGCTTAGACTAGCTGTACGTAGAGGCGTTGTCTGGGAGTAGGTTATGTACAAAGTAAGAGGTAATGTAAGGCAGACATAGGTGGATTCTAAAGACTAAATAGCGAAAAACTGACCAACATTTTGTAAATTGCTTTCTTTTTAGAATAAAATAATAATAATCTTTATTGTCCGTATGGAAATTTGTCTTACAATTTGTGCATTACACCAAACAAAAAACATTTTAACTTTAAGAAACCAGAGTGTACATTCACACCAGACTCACTCACAATTTACATGTGACAAGGTTTATACCAGATTGTTCTTATTTAATGATTTGATTGCCAGGGAAACAAAAGAGTGTTTGTGTCTGTTTGTCTTTGCTATCGGTGTCTTGTATCTCTTTTGTGATGGTAAAATCACAAAATCCTGACACAGAGGGAGATTCTTTATTTCCAGGATCTTGTTAGCTTT